TGAACGACGGATGCAAACGCTCCACGGGTTGTCAATGACGTTGGCAACGGTCAACAGGGCCATTGGCCATGCCAATGCAGAAACGATGCCTGAATACGTTCTATGGCATGACATACTTGATCATAGATCATTTAAGTTATTTCGTAGTAATTTGATGATTGCAGGCATTTACAACTTCTAACACTTTAAAGCAGGCATCAAACAAACATAGGTAGCATATATACCGTTCAAGTATATAGTGAAGAACACTATAAAAACTAAAAGTTCAAACAAAAAATCTCAGAAAAATATATGGTTTTAGGAGTTATGCACTATTTCATCTACTCTGGCGTCCAAACATATTTCCGTCTTTATGTTACGGTACATACGGTCTAGCCTCGAAAACATCGTTCATAATGAGTGCGACGTAGCTCTAACGGACAAAATTATGCGTGATGCGTCTAGTATTGCAGAATCTCAAATACCCCTGAGCCATAGCCTGCTTAAATGCTTCCTTTTTAAAGTAACTACGAGCAGTCGGACAGTGCAATAGGCCATGAAATCTAGTTTTGGTAGAGGTATGCGCCGTCTACAAAATATAATGATAATCTAAATTAAATTCCACAAAAGGTTTAAGTACTAACAGTGAGAAACTACGGGAAAAAAACTGCACAGGAAGACAAAATATGGTGCGTGTTCCTGAGCGATTACATGGTCATGAAAGAAAAGACAAGTTTGTAACCGTTAACATGCTTAACATGTTGGAAGCCTGTAAAATTCCGTAAAGAACAGTATAATGTAGCATCAATTTTCATGGAGTCCATCCCGCGGAACTGACAACTGCCGTGACTTCGTCAGCTCAGCATAAAAGTATAAAATTACAATTTATTTATAACAAGAAGAGCAATTCTAACACAAGAATATATTTTATTCTTAACGAGGCCCTTGAAAACAATGCATTAGTGTGCTTAACGATGAATTTGTTGAATATAACTTTTCTACAAAATTTTTAAATCATTTATTGATTTAAAAATTAAACTTATTGAAAGAAATAAATGTGCATTTAAAAGTACTATTAAAAATCCTGATTTACCATTGCTAAAATTTACCAGTACTAGTAAAACTTTTACACAAAATCAACACTGCCTTCAGGTATCTCTCTAACACTTAATTAGGGAATCTTACATTACAAAACAGCAAACTGCAATCAAAACGGTATAAACCATTACAGCAAAAACATAATTCTACATTTCTTTCAAATTCTTTGTTAAAATATGCACATCTGACCACGGCAGTAAAAGTCATCGCTATAAACAGACTTAAAAAAGACAATTACACCTTAGCCTATAAAACGCAGTTAAAAATTTACTGGCTGCACTGCAGCGAAAATTCCTGTCAGAATATATAGGTAGTAGAACGAGAAAAGAACATGTTATAAAACAGGTAACGTAACCCATAACTAAATACATTATACAAAAGACGCATATAAAATTACTGTGGTACACTGAATTCTAGCATCTTATTCAAATATTTGAAAAAAATAAGCATGACATAAGCAAATTCACTGTTATGAAACAAATGATTTTTGATACCTGAATTTTTTAAAACATTTTCTAATTAAAATTGTTGGTGATTTTTAAAAGTGAATTTTATCCCTGCCAGTGAACCTTAGCATGGTAACTGAAAGCATGGCAGAATTTCCATATAATTTTTAAGAGTATTTTTCAATCGTTCATCGATGTCATCTATTAACTGAAGTTTTCTATACGAAAATTTTTAAAGTTGTGATTGTAACTGAAACAAGCTATTCACAAATGAAAATGTCAGTTTGAAGCATAAATAAAAATCAGCTGTCTCCTTTGGATTCTAACCTCCGATTGCAGTGTCCATCAAAGCCTGCTCGATGGCGTAGTTGACGACGTATGACATCAGGTAGTTCATCGCCTTGCCCAATTCCAGCAAGTACTTTGACTCGTAACGCACGCAGTACTGTTCTTCGCTAAGTGCCAAGTATCGCCATGCCCACCTGAACGCATCTTCGCGTTCCTCGTTGATCCATCCACTGACGGCAATGGTCATGTGCAGACTGCAGCCCTCAGACATTCGTTCGAACTTGAACTCTTCCAATTCGCCCACCCGTCGAACCATCTTGTAACCAGTAAAGCCTGCTCCACCGATGCCGAATAAACTGCCCATGACCGCGGCACCTGTGGTCGAGGCGATGCCGACAGCCAGAGTGGAGCCGGCTAAGAGTCCAACGGAAGTGGCGATCAAAGGAGTCACTAAACCTCCGGTTAGACCTTAAAATGTATAAACATTAATACAAAAACCATGAAACACGTCGATCTAAATCAGTTCAAAAAAGTCTCCCTCCAATATTAACCACCTGCAATAACGGCCGTAAACAATGAAATGGCAAAACTTCTTTACCCGTAAACGTAATCCTAGCCCTCTCTTGTCAAACATCATTAAAAATTAATTATTACATATTGTGTTATTTGTTAATTACACTTCGAAAAGACATACACAGGCCCTTAAAATACATTAATTATTACTAATTTTTATTTAT